AGAGTGGCAGCAAGAATCAAAGGAAAGGTGTACAAGACAGTAGTGAGACCAGCTATGCTGTATGGGTTAGAGACTGTAGCAGTGAGGAAAAGAGGCACAGATGGAGGTAGCAGAGATGAAGATGTTGAGGTTCTCTTTAGGAGAGACCCGGATGGCCAGGATTAGGAATGAGCACATCAGAGGGACAGCTCAGGTTGGCTGTTTTGGGGACAAGGTCAGAGAGGCCAGATTGAGATGGTTTGGACATGTGCAGAGGAGGGATAGTGGTTATATTGGTAGAAGGATGTTGGAGATGGAGCTGCCAGGCAAGAGGTCAAGAGGAAGACCAAAGAGGAGATATATGGATGTGCTAAAAGAGGACATGAAGTTAATTAGAGTGAGTGGAGGATGCTGAGGATAGAGTTAGGTGGAAACAAATGATTCTCTGTGGTGACCCCTAACGGGAACAGCCGGAAGAAGAAGAAACAGCCAGTTTCACATATTTCACGTTTTACTTCAGCCAACCTTGTACTTTGATATTTAAATGAATTTAAGTTGTGGTGTATTTTCAGAATTTTACTGTTCAGTTTTATTTTGTACATTTAAAAAAGTTGTAAAATCCCATAACTATGTTGCAAATACATGTTTTAGTTAAAGACCCCTTATCGTACATGTCCATAATCTGAGTGTTTGCCGGCCAACATAAAGACTGAGGTTTATTGATTTTTTATAAACTTCTTCCGTTCATGCCCCGCCCCCTCCCAGGTGTCTCAGGTGCTCACCTTGATGTGGAGCTCTGGGTGCTGGTCAAAGTAGTCGAAGAGTTTCTGGTAGTTACTGAACTGAGCGTCCCACTCACTTGATTCTGTGAATCTAAAGTCGTCTCCAAGAGGAACGAGGAGAACTGAAGAACGGAAGAGACGAGACTTCTGGCGGTACTGATCCAGCAGGAGTTGAGCTCTGACAAGATCAATATGAGTGAAGATACTGATCACTCAGGGAAAACATAGATAATAATCTGCATTGAAACACCAAACTCAGACAAACAGATTTATGCATTTTAACCATTTCCACTTGTGTTTTAGTCAGAGAGCTTTAGCATACACAGTGTAGGTCATGAAATGTAAAGAACAAGAACAAAACTCATGTTGCAAATGTCACAGAAACTGACACAAAATAGTCCAAACTAAGTCAGAAAGTAAGAGTTTGGATATAGAAATGAAAAGAAAAGCATATCAAAAGAGCCAAAAATCACAGAACTCCAAAACTCTGTCACTGTATTAGCATTATGTCTGGCCCCACCCACAATCACCTCTCCTCAATGTTCTGCTCTGTGATTGGCTGTGGCGGTATCCTCCATGGACAGAAGACCCGCCCCCCTGTCAGTCGATGAAAGTCAAACTGACAACACACAGCCGGGTTCGGACCGCACGTGTGGGGTACGTCATAGCTGTAGAACGGCATCATGTGACACATTATGTCACTTCGGGGGGAGGGGTCTGACACAGGAAGTGGGTGGGGTTAGACAAACAAGGCAAAGCAGCTTATTAATGTTTTTGTTTCACACAAAATTGATGTAAATTCATCCCAAAGAAAAATCTGGAAACATTTAAAGTAAATACAACAATTTTTTTCAGGTTTTTGTTGACATTCTTGGTTTTGTTAATTATTTTAGCATCTCCAGTCCAATTTCTTAGCTAATTTTACTCTAAACTCTTTGCTCATGTCATTTTTGTTATATTTTTCTTCAACTTTATTTAAATATACGGAAACGTCCTCTGTTTTTATTAATTAAACCTTTTGTTAACAAATTAACTTAACCAATTTTACACACATTTAAAGCTGCATTAACTAAGATTTAGTACAAAAATGGATAAATGAAGTAAAAGATTGTCTACAAGTGTTGTCTCCCTGCTGTACTGTTTATCTTTCACCCTCTGTGGCCACTGTTGTTAAAATCCACACCCCGCTGATCTGAGGTTATAAGATCCATTTTTCAAACCAGTATGGCTCGTTTCAAATACGGACCGTGGAGGCTCATTGTCCAGGTCCAACCCAGGACGGGAGCGGACCTGTTAGACCCAGGAGGCCACGTTCTGTAGCACAGAAAGAGTGCGACAAAGGACGAGGCAAAACCAAGACTGATACTGGTTTGGCATGTCGGTAATTGAGAGCACTAAAAGCATAAAAAGGATTAAAAGCTGACACGGATGTGTCTTTCTTCCTGCTAGACGCTCAGCACTGTAGCTGGCTAATGTGTATATGTTGGCATCATTAGCAAGCTAACGTTAGTAGTGGTTAGCTATGTTGTATTGTTTGTCTGTTTTTTGCTCACTGCAGGCCGGTTGGTAATCGCCCAAAGGATCCTCATGGGGACGGTTTCCCCCAATATTTGACTTGCTTAGGGTTTTTACATCCCTGGGGGACTTCCGGGGGTCATTCAGGAATTTCCCTACCAAAATGAAGTCATAAGAAACAAAAATAAAACTTCAAATTGAGTTGGAGGGGTTTTGCCTGAATCGCAGTGAGAGGAAGTGAAAAGAGAAAAACTGTGAAAAAGAAGATGTGTGTGCATTGTTGTACAGTATAGACACTTGTGAATACTGAAAAGTGTGTTGTTAGCTGGCAAGGAGGAAGAGAATCATCATTTCATTTTTGTTCATTTTTATGTTCATGTCTGTTTATTTGCAGTCCAGTATGAATGGGAAGTCATGTGTTCACTTCATATAGTTAATCTGTTCACTATAGTTAATTACTGCTAAGATATGAGATGTTAGAGATTTGACTGATGAAGTTGTTTCATTAGAATATGTGGGACATGCTTTGCTAAGGTTAAAAGTTTATTGAGGAGTTGTTAACTGTAATAAAACTTGATTTTAGATTTGACTTTAGATGTAAGAAGAGGTTAATGTTTAACTAAAGCTGTTAGAGTTTAGAAATGTTAAAGGCTCATGTGAACATGTTCATGTTTTCATTTTTCTCTTTGGGTTTAACGCAGAGTGCCGTAGTCTTTAGACTACGGGAGGAGGGGCTGTAGTGGTTAAACCAAACAAGCTACAGTTAATATGCAATATGTAATAGAATACAGTGAGAGTGTGTAGATTGCATGTAGTTACTATATCCAGTAGTCAATTAATAATTAATAATTTCTGCAAGCCCTCTGTACTATGTCAGCTCACTGTGTAAATAGTTTGTGTGTGCTGAAGTAAGAACATTTTGGGTTCATGGCCTGTTTGTTTAACCCACTGGGTCATCCTGATCTGGAGATGACCTGTTAACTAGGTTCGGGAATTAGCAGGGGAGCCAAAAGTGAGCAGTGTACAAAAGGAGGCAGTATGCTGCTGCAGGAGGGTAGAGTAGTGTGTGTGCGTGCAGAAGAAGGACGGAGAGTGAGACCCTGGCTGGGGACGTGAAGGACTTTGCTAATGACCTAAAAGAGACTGACTGACTCTGTGACAGTCTTCTTGTCTAATACTGCATTTATTTCCTGTAGGAATTGTGACTCTGTCCTCCTTCTCTTAGTCTGTTTAATTGTCTGCCAAACTATTGAACTTCCTTGAATTATTGTAATATCAAATTATCATTGTAATTGGAATGATTTGTCTGAATTAATTTAGCTCACATCAGGTCCTAGCCACCACATTAACTTTGATATCTTCTGTCTTTGTATTGAATTTTTCTGGTTGTAATTTGGAGTCAGTCCAACTGACTACAACGTTAATGTTTTGTTGTCCAATTAGTGCAAACCAGCACGTTTTCCTGGATCAGCAAACGAAGTGATTTTGCTAGTTTTTGCTTGGTCTTGGTCCAGTTTATGTCGGACATAACACTGCAGTTCATGTAGCATTTTAGTGAGAAGCTGTTTCACAAACCAAACTAGAAAAGTGAGTTTGTTCAACTATCAAAGCGTAACATGACATTTCTCCTGTGTCACATACAACTCACGGCTACGTTATAACATTATGTGTGTCACATACAGTATGTAACACTGAATGTGATGTGATAATGGCCAGAACATTAGCACTGTATCAGTGTTACTGGGGAAATCATTACTCTGTATAATTTGCTTGTGTTACTGTAGATACGTCTGCTACAAACAATGCTACACATACGTATGCATATCGCTAAAATGTAAACCTCTTAATTTGACATTGTGTCGCTGCAATGCCACTGAAAACCACAGGGCTGGAGCCAGGTATTACTGCTGTGCTACCTGACTGCCACAACTGTCTCCGGCTGTCGTCACCACGTATGACGTAGAAGGAAGAAGACGGGGCGGGGGGGTGAGGAGGAGCAGATACTGCTGGAGTTTGTTTTGATGCTCACTTTGCCCTTAAAGGTCAAAAATTAGAGGGAGAAGTTAGTTAATGCAGCTTTAATCAGAATGTAAAAGTACTCTGAAACTGTGGTACTTTTACTTAAGCAAATGATCCGAGTCTCTCATCACTGTTTATCAAAGTACTGCATGTATGTTACACTGACCAGATATATGAAGTGACTGAACACAGCCAGACACGTTAAAGCTCCAATGTTACAGGCAACAGACTGTGTAATAAACTCTGTCTGGCAGACACATGCAGTCTTGGGTGTTGTGTGACTGAAACATGTCTGTCTGGTGGCCAGACGTAGGGGATGTTTGAAACTGGGTGGCGTGCTGTCCGCACACACCGAAAGGAGAACTCACAGCCATGACGAGTGGCCACATTTGAAGAAGGGTTAAGAAGTCAAGTGTGCATCCACCTAATTTCCAGAAAACTGGGAAAAGGAACCACAGACTGTTTCCGTTCACTACTGTTATGTGACTATTAGGGGTGCGGAGCCGCTGGCTCTAACTCTGCACTCTGACATCTCAGACTTGTCAAACACATCTCAAACTTTCTCTGCCTCTGCCACTGGAGCGCTGCAGAGTTTTGACCCAGAAGGAAGTGGAACTTCTACCTTCTGAAGGGTGCCAGAATTTAGCTCCTGAAACTCCAAACTGGGTTTACAGGTCAGTTAGAGCAATAAAGGCTCTAGTGAACTAAAGCAGATCACCTCCACCACCTAGCTGCATCTACCGCAGCTGCTGGTGGATTAATGTCATCATGTTACTGCAGGACGAGGTCATTTACTTCATAAAGGACATTTTGCTGATCATATTTACGCAGCACTTTTACTTCACTGGGATTTGAATGCAAGACTTAAAACTGCATTAGCTAAGATTCAGAACAAATAAGATTTAGCACAAATTTGCATAAATCAAGTAAAAAATTGTCTAGAAGCATCTCCATCAGATGGAGCGCTCTAAAAGCATCCACAGAACTAAAATTTGACCAGATGTGTCTTTCTTCCAGCTAGATGCTAAGTACTGTAGCTGGCTAATGTGTACATGTCAGCATCATTAGCAAGCTAATGTTAGCTTTGATATTTTCTGTCTTTGTATTGAATTTTTCTGGTTGTAATTTGGAGTCAGTCCAACTGACTACAACGTTAATGTTTTGTTGTCCAATTAGTGCAAACCAGCACGTTTTCCTGGATCAGCAAACGAAGTGATTTTGCTAGTTTTTGCTTGGTCTTGGTCCAGTTTATGTCGGACATAACACTGCAGTTCATGTAGCATTTTAGTGAGAAGCTGTTTCACAAACCAAACTAGAAAAGTGAGTTTGTTCAACTATCAAAGCGTAACATGACATTTCTCCTGTGTCGCATACAACTCACGGCTACGTTATAACATTATGTGTGTCAAGTATGTAACACTGAATGTGATGTGATAATGGCCAGAACATTAGCACTGTATCAGTATTACTGGGGAAATCATTACTCTGTATAATTTGCTTGTGTTACTGCAGATACGTCTGCTACAAACAATGCTACACATACGTATGCATATGGCTAAAATGTAAACCTCTTAATTTGACATTGTGTCGCTGCAATGCCACTGAAAAGCACAGGGCTGGAGCCAGGTATTACTGCTGTGCTACCTGACTGCCACAACTGTCTCCGGCTGTCGTCACCACGTATGACGTAGTTTCAGAGATGGGGCGGGGGGGTGAGGAGGAGCAGATACTGCTGGAATTCGTTTTGATGCTCACTTTGCCATTAACGGTTGAAAATTAGAGGGAGAACTAATGCGGCTTTAACAGGTATTTTTACTCAAATTAATTTCTTTAACTTAGTGTGTTTATTCAAACTGTACTCAATTTGTTTTATTAATGTAAGTCTTCAAATGTTTTCTGTGGAACTATTTTGTCCTCATCTACATGTATTGTTTTTCTTCATTTGTTTTCTGGACTCCTCCCACTTTTTCTAATATTGTTTCAATATTTTTTCTTCACTTTTGCTGTTAGTATCATCAAAATCTATTATCAACAAAACATTTTCACACAGTTTAACATTACTTATCTTCAGTCAGTTTCTCTCTCTCTGTATTCAGACCCGGTGTCTCTTGCCCACACTCACCCCAGCTCTGTCGCCATAGAAACTCCAATGTCTGTTGCTGGGCGAAGTGTTTCTTAACAGCATAGTGAACTCGCTGGATGACTATGTTGCTAAGCCCCGCCCCCTTCAGGAGGTAGGTCATAGAGGGGGAGTGGCCAAACGGATCAATCGCCCATCCACTACGGGGCTTCACACCTGTTCGCAGAAATAAAGTTTGGCATAATCTGAAAATACATGTAAACATGTAGAGTGATTTTATGCTGAAGTGACACGAACCCAGATGCTTCTGTATCCACTGGTGTCCTTCGATCAGCTGATCCAACATAGCAAAGTAGTGAGAATTTGCTTCGTCCGCCATCACCCAACCGCCTGTCACCAGCTCCAGTTGCCCCGCCCCCAGCAGGCTGACCAATCGCAGAGCAGGAGACAAAAACAAAACAAGAATAAGCAATTTTCAGTAATGAACACAAACTGCAACATGAGTAAATAAAAACGCCATGAATTATATAAATCCAACCATTTACTATACTCATCCATTAAACACAGGAAAATCAAAAGTCCGAACAAATAATATGGACAGGAAACTCAGATAAACCAACTCAGAACAACAGGTGTAGGAAAATCAAATGACATTTTCAAAAAGTTATGACTCTAGCTTTCCTGATTTTCCCGGTTTAAGACCGAGAGCTATCTTTCTCCTGAATCTGATAGGAAATAAAGGCAAAGAGACGAAAAAGAGAAAATATAAAGTTACCGTTTGACCATTGCTCTTTTTTGCTCATCAATGTCGTTCCACCATTTAGAGAAATAGCTGATTTCGGCCCAGATCATCTTCCTCCTGATTGACAGGAAATAAGATGCTGTCACTTATCAACCCCCGATCAGTTCAGGGCAGGGACAGGAGTCAACAGCACGTCAAATTAGACCCCCGTTTATATTAAACTGCAGCTTTAAACACATAAAACCTGGAAGCAGAGTCTCCCTCAGTGATTAGAACTAAACTAAGACAAATATCAACAATGTGTTTTCAAAGAATGACCATCGACCTCCACTGGTCGTTTCAGGCTTATTTGGAGAAGACTGCGTCCACGTCCCAGGCCTCAAAACTCTGATCTGATATGTGTGTGTGTGTGTGTGTGTCGCTGCTTGTCCATGTGCGTCAGTGCCGTGTATCCGGTGTGAACACCACTCAGCTCGTAAACTGCCACGCATGCACAGATGTAACTGAAACGTGAGCCACGTGCACACAAGAATAACAACCAGGTTGTGTGTGCAACGGTCAAATGGCCCGGTTTCCTCCCAAACCACTCGGTTACGATATTTTCCTCCCAGTTTGTCCTGATCGGAAGCTTCTCCGTAAACGTCCACCACATGTGAAACGTCCTGGTCTGGCAGAACGTCCCCAGCATGAGATGTTTGTTGCATACACATGTAGTTTATGGTCTGTGAGGGGCCGACCCCGAATGATGACGACAGGCCGTATGTGCAGAGGAGGAGACGTTAAAACGACCACATAGATTCTGATCTGAACGTTCTGACGCTGCTGCACAGTCAGAGGTCAGAGGAATTAGATGTAGGAGCACATACAGTATGTAGGTGGCTCAGATCTGGTCTGAGGACACCTGGTCTGGTCTGTTCACACCGGGTCTGGGAAACTGAGTGGACTGTGGTTTGAGTATGAGAAGTGAAGCTGACTGTACCTGCTGTCCTGGCTCAGTTTGACCAGCATGTTGTTGAGGATGTGTTTGGTCTGATCCTGATAATAACCGTCAAACGTCTTCACCCAGCCTGAAACACACACACAGGTTTGCTTAAACCAATACAGCTCACTATTCCGTCATGTAGACTCTGGCTGTGTTGTGGTTTCTGACCCGGGTCGTTGTGTGAGTGTGGAACCAGGAAGAGCTCCAGTGGCTGCTCATCCCACTCATTGCCATGGTAACGGATCTCAAAGCCCTGTTTCCAGGCGCCGCCGTCAATGTTGTCGAAGGGCAGGAGGTCGTAAACATCTAGCAGCTACAAGACACACAAACAACAACACAAGTTGTACACAGACGCTCAGGAGACCTGAGCGGACAAAGGTGGGCTTCACCTGAGACCAGCTCCAGTGTAAAGACTGAGACGACGAGTGCAGCTTGGAAATAATTAACCTAAAAACGTATCTCAGGTGAAATAAAATGAAGTAAAATCCCCAAAAGGTCTCACATTTTTAACACACTAACAAGTATTATTCATTTTATTAACACATAATATTACTGAGATTTTTCTACAAAAACTTCATTGATCCTGAAATTTGCTGTTTTGTAAAGCAGCTATTTTTGTGACAATACTTCAAAAGCACAAAACCTGATCCTTTATTTAAACATTTGGAAATATTTAGTAAATGAATAGCACAACTTGTATTTTCTGACATTCTAATTATCCAATAATTTAGTACAAATACTTTGAAAACTATCTAACCTGCACTCCATCAGTTCCATCCTTCATCTCTTCAGCCAATCGGCAACCAGGCAGTGTGTGGGTGGAGTCTGAACTCTCATTGGCTCCTCCCCCTCTCGATTCTGTTTTCCATGACGCTTTGCTAACATTTTATAAATTGACCAGAAAACAATAAACTGATTCAATATGTAGAAATTCTACATTCAAATGTTTTTTCCATCTTATGTATTTCTGTGATTTCTCTGTTAAATGACACTTTACACTGAAAGGTCACTGTGAAAAGATCAGAAACAGGAATCAGTCACATTTTTTTTTATTTCAAAAGGAAACTCTTGGCTTGTTCAAGATGAGCTGCTCCCCGGCTGGTGAGAGGACGAGAGCAGGCAGCAGCGGCAAACAGCCAAAGTCAGGACGGACAGTTAGGAGCTTTCATCAGCCTTCAGTCTGTACAGGAAGTCACAGAAACTTATGTCCTGTTAGAGCTTCTACAAACATTTTTTGTTTTAATGACATCCATCTATATGACAAGGAGAGTGATGACATGCTGACCTGTGTCAGTCTCCATACAGTTACATACTGTGTCTGAACATGTGTCTGGGCTGTGTTTCTCATACAAAGCATCATCAGATCAGTTTGCTGCTGTATCTGAGGTGCATCAATACATTCACAGCCACAGACATTTAGTCTGCGTCACCTCTGTACAGATGTCACTGAAAGAATCCTCACATCCTGCTCACCTGTCTCTTAAGTTAAGGCTTCAGGAATTAAATCAGTTCATGTTGTAGAGCAGGACTATCAGACTGTCTGCAGTCTATGGGAACTATATGTAATATCCTGTATGCTGACTGGGCAGCACAGCGGCAGTGGTTAGCACTGTCGCCTCACAGCAAGAAGGGTCCAGGTTCAAGTCCCGGCCGACCCGGGGCCTTTCTGTGTGGAGTCTACATGTTCTCCCTGTGCCTGTGTCGGTTCTCTCCAGCTTCCTCCCACAGTCCAAAGACATGCAGCTTAGAATGACTGGTGACTCTAAACTGCCCGTAGGAGTGAGTGTGGTTGTTTGTCTACATGTCAGCCCTGTGACAGACTGGAGACCTGTCCAGGGTGGACCCCACCTCTTGCCCAGTGCCAGCTGGGGTTGGCTCCAGCCCCTTCATGACCCTGTTCAGGAATAAGCGCTATAAATAACGGATGGATGGACGCCGATTGTGTTCAGCTTCTCTGACTCAAACATCTGTTAACAGAACAAACCTTCACAGTGCAAAACCAATAATAAAATCACAATGGCTGCAAAGGTTTCCATAAAACATCACGTTGTTGATCTGGCATCTCAACCAAACAGCTCCCAGATCAGGTGACATCAGATCATCATGCCCTGAGCTCTTGCGATCCCTGGAGAACAACTGTGGTGCCTGGCTCAAAACCTGCAGCCATCTGGATCCCGTGATCGTTTCACATGCAGCTGTTACGTCAGACGACGATCGAATCTGCGCTGAACTGCTTCATCTTGAACGTGGTTATTATTTTGTGTGACTCACTTCCTCCACCCATCTGGGAGGTGTGCCCCCGCTGTACTGAGGCTCCGCCCCCTGCATCAGCTCCAGCATGCGGTACAATGACATCACCGCCACGCAGAAAACCAAGCCCACCAGCACCGTCAACACCCGGCTCCTCTTCTTCATCACTGTGAGGAAGACCAGACAGTAAAACATCAGACACCAACATCTATGAGTTTTAAGACCAATTAACATTCAGTCGATCAATGTTTACAAAGTGCACGAATGTCAGATCTGTGCGGAACAATCATCAGTTAATGGACCTGGACCTGTGTGTGAATCACTGAACAGGCCTGAGGGGCCATGAAACAAAGACAATCCCAAAGCCTGGGCTGAAGCTGGGTTGTTCATCCTCCTCTCACCTGGACTCAGACCAGCTGCAGACACAGACAGGTGGAATAAACCATGAAGGTTTCACTGCACTGATTCTGGACAGTCAGCGTTTCTCATCAAAGCCTGGGGATCGGTTCCATCAGAGTTTTCAAAGCCAAAGCGATGTTTTATTGTGTTGGTTGTGTTTTGTATCTAACTGTCCTTCTGATGTGTTACAGGCACTTGTGTGTCTTTGTCTTTAGGGCTTTAATTGTGAGGATGTGGATGTAAATTAGCTTGACACTAACTCTGCTACATCACACGGTGACATTCATGTTGTTCATACACTTTGCACACGGCCCCTTTTATATAAGACCATCTGTTAAGTTTTGTCTGAATCTGAACCTGTGACGTTTCAGACATCCAAGACTTCCTCCCACCTTTGGAGGCCTGTGACTGAGCCAACAGAACTCGCTGGGTTTGATGCTTTCAGAGCTGCAGAGACTGAGTTTGTGCAGAGTTCATCAGCTGCACAAACGTGTGGCTGATCCTGAACCAGCTCACGGAGATTAAACACTGGTTCCGAGCTACAGAGGGTTAGGTGTTATGGTTAGGAGCACAGTGCCCAAGCTTTTTATATGAGATTATGAGATACAACACTGATTTAAACTGTGACAGTAAATTCCACTTTTGACCAAACTCTACAATTCCCTACCTCACAAATGGATTTTACAAACGTTGAACATCCAACACAGTTACTTCTTCTTCTTGTTTTTATTTCAGTCTATAACAAGGTGATCTTCACACTAACATAATGTTAAATCCACACAGAGCATAAAAACTACAGGTTATCTACAGGTGTGACATAGACGTGTCCTGCAGGGACCTGTGGTTAAACAAACATTACTCTCGTCCTGTTGAACTCAGTTAAAACAAACGTTGTCTCAGAGATAAAACTGATTAACCCTTAAATGTCACGGCTCCACAGCTCTAAAAGGATTGTTTTAAACGTTTACTTAAATTTCTCTGCAATAAAACCGCGGCGTCTGTATAAAACTGCAACAATAGAAAATATTTGGAATATTTCTTCCTCCCAGGGGACGTAAGGACCAGTCCTGCAGGTCGAACCGCTGTGGAGATAAAATTCATCAAACTTTATATCTTAAGTTAAACTAAGACCTTCCCCCGGGGCTTCCGCGTTGAACAGGTCTCGCGCTCCGCTGCGTCTCGTGCTGTGCGTCACTTGTCCTGTAACGCACCTGTGTCACTACAGTTTCCTGGGAAAACCGAGTGAAAATAAACGTTTGGTTAAAGAAAAACTATCTGGTCCCTTCGTACAGCGAGCTCAGGCTGCTCTTACGCATGCGCCCTGCTCTTTGTTTTGCTTCCGGTTTGTTCGGCTGACTCAGCGCTCAACTTCCGGTCACGGGGTGGGGTGGGGTTCTGTTGCATTAATGGACACAACGTCATTGACCAAGAGAGACCCGACAACAAGCACATATATACTTAAAGTACCAGCAGTACCAGTACCCGTCCTCCAGAAACCAGAACTTAAGGGGAAAAATCAAACCAGTGCATCAGACCAGTCAAACCAGTGACAGTGACGTCCTGTAGCACTTTCACCTGCTCTTTCTCACAGTGCAGCAGAGTCATTGACCCAGGTCTGAGTATTTCTAGGACCGGTGATCAGACAGCTCTGGGTCACTTCACCCCTTTAACTCCTGTGATCTGTTCCCTGCAGCCGCTGATGTCTCAGGCCAGGAAGGAGGTGGTCATGCAAGTGTTTCAGAAGCTGGATAAGATGGGCGACGGGGTGATCACCATCGAGGACCTGAATGCTGCAGTGTTAGTCGCACCTGGTTTCTTTAGCCTTCAGGCCACTGCTGTGTGTTCGTAGCCCCTCACAGACATCGACACATGAATAGATGTATGTTGCGCCTGATAACAGGCGATGAAGCCTTCATCGGTGTCTGTCCCTGTAGATGTGTTGTCTGTGTTCACGCTGGTCTTTCTTGCTTAGCTGCTGCATTTCCTCAGTCACAGGAAATGAGTCGCTTGACTTGACTGGTTTTCTGCATCATGTGATTTCACATAATCCGAGTGCAGAGTGTGTGTGCTCCCCCTCTTACCTCCTCACACAGCTCCTGTAGATTTACAGGGACTGGGTTCAGGCTGGACGGAGGATTTACAGGGACTGGGTTCAGGCTGGAAGGAGGATTTACAAGGACTGGGTTCAGGCTGCAGTCTCTCACCCTCCTGCTCTGCACAGTCCTCAGAGCCTTTACTTAAAGGCAGAAACACCACAATGAACAAAGACGCTGTTATAAGTCCTGCACTTAATCTCAAGTAAAAGCACATATATACTTAAAGTACCAGCAGTACCAGTACCCGTCCTGCAGAACGGCCCGTGTCCCAGTAACGTCTCTGATACTGGATCATAGTGACTAATTACTGTGTCCATCACTTTAATGCTGCAGCTGGTAAAGGTGGAGCTGATGGTAACTACCTTATATACTTATACTGGGAAGTACTTTCCATCCTGCTGGGTAGCTGGTGGATTTCCTACTGGGATCAATAGAGTCTGATGGTTCTACTGGGTTTGGTTTGATTCATCTGATTCTGGACCTGAAGGTATCAGGTACATGTAGTGTAGTAAAAAGTACACGGTTTGTCTCTGACATGGAGTCACAGGATGAAGGAGCAGGAAATACTCGAGTAAAATACAGATACCTCAAAACTGGGCTTGAGTAAATGTACTTAGTTACTTTCCACCACTGACACAGTGTATTAGCCACAGTTACACTGTGGATTTGTAACAAACTGAAAAGGAAACACAGTTGTTTGATTTGACCACAGAAACACACAGGACAGCGGCTGCTCCCTGCACACGGGGAGGAAAAGTCCAAAACCCACAGAAGAGTCAAAAGATAAACAGTGTTTGGTTTGTTGGTCTTCATGTTTGATTCTGCACTGCGACATGAAAACAGGAAATGCCTGTAAAAAATGGAAACCTCAAATCCTGACCTATTTCTCTGTTTGCTTTCCAGGCTGAATGGCGAGACGACGCAGGGACGGTTTTGTCTGCAGGTGGGTGATCTGCTCGGTTTACTCTCATGTCCTTTCATCTCCTTTCTTCGTCTTATTTTTCTCCGTCTCCTCTGCCTTTCTCCTTCTGTGACAGTTGACCTTTGACCTCTGTCGTCTCACAGCGAGGGTGTGTTTGTTTCGTTGGCTGGCGCTACAGTGTTTGTTTCACAACAGCATCGTTTGTT